TCTGAGCTGGACGGCCGGCCGAATGCTGAGGAGGCGATACAGTGGGTCGTGCCCGGGAAAAGGAGAGCATGCTAGGCCAGGAGGGATGGGACGGGGGGGAGGGAAACCAGCCATGCCGGGATGCATCCGGCCACGTGGGACCTCGGCGAGTTAGCGGGCGCCTGGTTGAAGAGGGACGGTTGCCATCTCCGGGGCATGGCGCGCGTGCCCACAGACAGGGCTCTGAGTGCCGCCTCTGGCACGCGTGCCATAGGTTCGCCACCACTATCCTAAGTGTACACTACACAATAGAAAGCAGGAACTCTGCGGCCCAACGATGCTTGTCTTCCCCCAGGTTTGACTAACAGGCACACCAAACGTCCCGCAGAGGGCCAATAATTTAATTAAAACCAGTTAACGCTGCTCAATAAATACACAAAGCGTATTTACTTGCCTTCCAGAAACCCCCCAAATCTAGAACTTCAGCCCAAGTTAAGGATGATTGTCCCTCGATTATCTAAGGCAGATCTGTCTGATGTCTTGTTGGGTTTTTTTTTTCTTTCTTTTTCTTTCTTTACATAAAGCAATCACATAAAAATAATTATAAATAGAAAAATTTCCAAAGGATTTCCCGCCCTTGCTACCACGTTCCCCCCCCCATTCCATCATTCAGGAAATTGTAACCAAAAAGGGGGGGGAAGCAGAGGGATCTTTTTTTTTTCTTTTTTTGCACCCAGTTCTTTTTTTGGATTTTACAGTCTTTAGAATCTTTGGATATTTTACAAGGACTCCGGATTGTATAAGCAGCCCGAAAAAGGGGGGAAAAAAAAGAAAAAAAAGAAGTCAAAATCCAAAATCAACCCCCCCAAAATAAGGTGTAAAAGAGTCACCCGGAAAGATAATAAATCAAGAAAAGAAAAAAAAAAAAGTCTGAACTTGCAGCTGGAAATTCTGTTTTTCTTCCCTGCATTTGTCGGAGCAAAGGAGAGATGTCTTTTGGGGGCATTTTGAAATAAAAGTTCCAAAGGGAGCTTAATTTTCAAGACAGTCCTTTTATAAAGGAAAAATAGGTCCTTGCTTCTTGACTGGGAACCAATGCAGTTCTGGAGAACAGCTCTGTAGGTAGAGAAAAGGGGAAAAAAAATAAATAAATACTCTTAATCATCCGTATTTCCTCCCATTTGTATTTGTTAGCTGTACTTTGTGTGCTGATTGTGCCCAAAGGCTCTCAGCAGCTAACATTCAAAAATATCAATAATATCAACAATAATGATAATAATAACAATAATAACAACAACAACAACAATAATAATAATAATAATAATAAGTAATAGTAGTAGTAGTAGTAGTAGTAGTAGTAGTAGTAGTAGTAGAAGGAGGAGGAGGAGAAGAAGAAGGAGAAGGAGAAGGAGGAGGAGGAGGGGAGGAGGAGGAGGAGGAGAAGGAGAAGAAGAAGGAGGAGGAGGAGGAGAAGGAGGAGGAGGAGGAGGGGAGGAGGAGGAGGAGGAGGAAGAGGAAGAGGAAGAAGAAGAAGAAGAAGAAGAAGAAGAAGAAGAAGAAGAAGAAGAAGAAGAAGAAGAAGAAGAAGAAGAAGAAGAAGAAGAAGAAGAAGAACGGACTCGGGACACAGCCACATAATAATAATAATAATAATAATAATAATAATAATAATAATAATAATAAATAACAACAACAACAACAACAACAACAACAACAACAATAATAATAATAATAATAAAGTTGGAAGGGACCTTGAAGGTCATCTAGTCCAACCCCCTGCTCAGGCAGGAAACCCTATAGCGTTTCAGACAAAGGGCTGTCCAGTCTCTTCTTAAAAACTCCCAGTGTTGGAGCATCCACAGCTTCTGGAGGCAGGTTGTACCTGTCAATCAAAATAAATCCACCCTAAAACTGAATTAAAACCTCAAGGGATAAAAAAATTGAAGTTGTGCGTCTAGCAGGACATCCCAACATTCGGAGTATGCCTGCCACTTAGTCTAGATGGAAAAGTGGGGTCTTGCCTATGCTTCCGAACCCAGGAGGGAAGGGGTAGACTGGATCTCCACAGGGAGGTGGGGTGCCCATAATAGGTGGCCAGCAGCCGGGTCTCTGAGTGGATGTGTTTGTACAACAACAGATGGAAACTAATCAAGGAGAGAAGCAACCTGGAATTAAGGAGAAACTTCCTGACAGGGAGGACAATTAACCAGTGGAACAGCTTGCCACCAGAAATCCTGGGCGCTCCATCACTGGAGGTTTTTAAGAAGAGACTGGACAGCCATTTGCTGAGATGGTGTAGGTTCTCCTGCTTGACCAGGGGGCTGGACTAGAAGACCTCCAAGGTCCCTTCCAGCTTCTATTCTGTTATGTTCTATTCTATTCTAATTCTTATTCTTATTCTTATTCTTATTCTAATTCTTATTCTAATTCTTATTCTAATTCTTATTCTAATTCTTATTCTTATTCTATTCTATTCTCAACCTTTAATAATAACCTAGATGAGGTTTTGATTATCATTCTGCAAAGGAATCTTTTTGTGAAGCTACATCTTCCATTGAAGATAATATTTGTAGAGTTGAATTGTTGGGTCCTTGGTGCTCTCTGAGCTTGGCTATGTTCTTGCAGATGTTTCATTGCCCAACTAGGTCCTAGCCCTCATGATATGACCTAGTTTGGTAATAAAACGTTTGCAAGAACACAACCAAGCTCAGAGAGCACCAAAGACCCCACCGTAAATCTTCCTTCCCTGAGACAGGAGAGCAAAAAGGCAGAAGTTAAATCTACATGACTGACGTTACTGAGAAAATGGACCCAAGCCACAGTTGTGTAGAACAGAAATTGGAATAGAATGGAACAGAACAGAACAGAATAGAAATTGGAATCGAATAGAATAGAAATTGGAATAGAATAGAATAAAGAAAATATAGAGTAGAATAGAATAATAATAATAATTAGAATAGAGTAGAATAGAACAGAACAGAATAAAGCTGGAAGGGACCTAGGAGATCTTCTAGTCCAGCCCCCTGCTCAAGCAGGAGAACCTACACCATCTCAGGCAAGTGACTGTCCAGTCTCTTCTTGTAAATCTCTAGTGATGGAGCACCCACGATTTCTGGTGGCAAGCTGTTCCACTGGTTAATTGTCCTCCCTGTCAGGAAGTTTCTCCTTAATTCCAGGTTGCTTCTCTCTTTGATTAGTTTCCAACCGTTGTTTCTCGTCCTTCCCTCTGGTGCTTTGGAGAATAACGTGACCCCCTCTTCTTCTTCGTGGCAGCCCCTCAAATACTGGAACTCTGCTATCATGTCTCCCCTATTTCTTCTTTTTTCTAGCCAAACCCAAGTCCTGCAGCCGTTCTTCATATATTTTAGCCTCCAGGCCTTGGATCATCTTAGTTGCTCTTCTGAATTAATTAATTAGAACAAGAGTGTCCAACTTTGGCCATTGGAAGACCTGTGGACTTCAACTCCCAGAATTCCCCAGCCAGCCATGTTGGACAGCTAGGGAGCTGGAAGCTACCTAAAGCTGGTCTAAACTAGAAACTAATTTGGGGGGAATGGATGGATTGGGAATTCTGGGAGTTGAAGTTGCCAAGTTTGGTCACCTCTTGGGTTCAAAGATCTCCAGCCCTGTCTAACCCTGACATCCTGGGAGTCTACAGCAAGCCCCCCCCCTCCTCTGAAGGGGCTGCCTTCCCCCCCTTCCGTAGCAGAATTATCCCCCTGTACCCCAAAGACATTCACAGGAATCCGGGCAAGTTGCGTTCGACACACTTAAAAAGTGGGGATTTCCACATTTCTCCTAGCAGAGTAAGCATCAGGAGAGCAGACATGGTTACGTACCCAACCTGTCCCTCGAAGAGAAGTCAACTCAGTTGCTAGCTTCAGAGAGAGAGGCCAGGGGGTTGAGGGCAGCCAGTCCGTTGAACCCCGAAACCCAGGGATCCGGGAGGGAGAAATAGGGCCGTCCCGAGAGACCCTCGCCGTGGCTCAGGGCGAAGGCGAAGAGGCCCCCGTTGTGCTCCAGGTCCAGGTGTGTCCGCCCAAAGAGCTTCATCTGGGTCGCCTCCAACTGGTTCTGCAGCTCCTGCAGGTTCAAGCCGTTCTTGGCCCCATCCAGGAAGGGCCCGGGGCCCGGAAGGCACAGCCCCGGGCCCCCCAAGTGGCCACTCATGTCCTCCAGAGCCGGGGGCACCAGGAAGCTCTTGTTGTCCGGTGGTCCGGTCGGGGCGAAGAGCAGGCTGGCCGCTCTCCAGGGGGCCGACTTGCGTCCTCTCCTGGGCCGGGAGATCCGGCAGCTCTGGCGCTTGACGTGGCGGTGGAGGTGATCCGAGCGGGTGAAGCTCTTGTAGCAGAACTTGCACTGGTAGGGACGGATGCCGGTGTGGATCCTCATGTGGTTTTTCAGGTCGTAGTTGTGGACGAACCTGGCGCTGCAGTGGATGCAGAGGTACGGCCTCTCCCCCGTGTGCTTCCGCATGTGGATCTTCAGCTTGTCCTGCCTGCCCGAGGGAGAAGCAAGGGTTAACTGGGGAGTGGATCACCCAAGCACGGAGGTCTAGGGCAGTGGGGGCGAACCTATGGCACTCGGGCCAGAGGCGGGAGCTTCACCCTCGGTCATATCCACTCAGTCATGATATTCAACAAACTCTAGTAGTTAAAGAGACCACAGCTAAGCACCGATATCCTGTGGGGAAAAACTATTACAGATGCCTTTAGTCAACACCAGGGGTCTTCAAACTTGGCCCTTTTGTGACTTGTGGACTTCAACGCCCAGAATTCCTCAGTGTGCCTGGCTGAGGAATTCTGGGAGTTGAAGTCCACAAGTCATAAAAGGACCAAGTTTAAAGACCCCTGGTCTGGATCCAAGCCCACAGTTTCATCAAAATGGCCGACTGAGGAATTCTGGGAGCTGAAGTCCACCAGTCATAAAAGGGCCAAGTTTGAAGACCCCTGAGAGTCTGGATCCAAGCCTGCAGTTTCATCAAAATGGCCGACTGAAGAATTCTGGGAGTTGAAGTCCACCAGTCATAAAAGGGCCAAGTTTGAAGGCCCCTGGTCTGGATCCAAGCCCCCAGTTTCATCAAAATGGCCGACTGAAGAATTCTGGGAGTTGAAGTCCACCAGTCATAAAAGGGCCAAGTTTGAAGACCCCTGGTCTGGATCCAAGCCCGCAGTTTCATCAAAATGGCCGACTGAGGAATTCTGGGAGTTGAAGTCCACCAGTCACAAAAGGGCCATGTTTGAAGACCCCTGAGAGTCTGGATCCATGCCTGCAGTTTCATCAAAATGGCTGACTAAGGAATTCTGGGAGTTGAAGTCCATCAGTCATAAAAGGGCCAAGTTTGAAGACTCCTAGGTAGAGGGATTTTCAACAGGTGGACTCCCATGCAGGTATTAGCCAAGCCCAATTCTGCTTCTCAAGAGCAGCCAAGATCAACAAAGCACAGGCAGTCCTTGAATTACAAACACCGCTGACCCCAAAATTTCTGTGGCTAAGTGAGGCCGTTGTTTAAGTTGAGTTTTGCCCCATTTTACAACCTTTCCTGCCATAGTCATTACGTGAAACCCTGCAGTTGTTAAATTAGTCAGTGAATCCAGTTTCCTTCCGTTGACTTTGTTTGTGAGAAGGTCACCAAAGGGGATTCCTTGACACACACACACACAAACACACACCCCGGGAACCCCGCAACCGTCATAAAGACGAGTCAGTTGCCAAGCGTCTGAATTTTGATCACGTGACCCTGGGGGATGCTGCAACGGTCGAAGAAAGTGTGAGGAGAAAAGTATGCCGTTACAAGTTTGAGCGGTCATTAAATGAACCGTTGTAAATTGAGGACTGCCTGTATTGATGCCTTACCTGTGAGTAGGGAAGGAGTCTATGGCTCTCCTTGACCCAAGGTGGTGGTAATAATAATAATAATAACAATAACAATAATTATTATTATTATTATTATTATTAGAAAATGATAACATTAAGCTGCTCTGGGACTTCAGAATTCAAACAGACAAGCACCTGCAACATAACACCCTGGACTTAACAATTGTCGATAAGAAAGACAAAAAAGTCTGGATAGTGGAGGTGGCAGTGCCTGGAGACAGCAGAATAGACGAGAAAGAACTGGAGAAGATCACAAAATACAAAGACCTACAAATAGAAATAGAAAGACTGTGGCAAAGGCAAGCAAGGGTGGTATCAATAGTCATAGGCGCCTTGGGTGCAATCCCAAAACAACTGGAGCACCACTTGGACACCATCATCGGCATTGACACATTCGCCATTAGTCAATTGCAAAAGGCGGCCTTACTAGGAACTGCTTCCATCCTGCGACGAGATCTGTAATATACCATCAAACATCCACATCTGCCTATCCCAGGTCTTGGGAAAGGACTCCATAGGTAGACAAAAATGCCAAATCCAGTCTGAACATCTGGCTGACTGTGTGATGAATAATAATAATAATAGTAATAGTAATAGTAATAATAATAATAATAATGATGATAATGATGATAAAGTTGGAAGGGACCTTGGAGGTCATCTAGTCCAACCCCCTGCTCAGGCAGGAAACCCTATACCATTTCGGACAAATGGCTGTCCAGTCTCTTCTTAAAAACTTCCAGTGTTGGAGCATTCACAGCTTTTGGAGGCAGGTGGTTCCACTGGTTAGTTGTTCTAACTGTCAGGAAGTTTCTCCTTAGTTCCAGGTTGCTTCTCTCCTTGATTAGTTTCCATCCGTTGCTTCTTCTCCTGCCTTCAAGGGCTTTGGAGAATAGGGGGACCCCCTCTCCTTACCTCCCTACTTTTCCTCTCTAGACAATCTTTCTCAACCTTTGGTCACTTTCCAATGTGTGGATTTCAACTCCCAGAATTCTCCAGCCAGGCATGGAATCTGGCTGGATGGAGAGTTTTTCCTACTACAGGAGGAGTCAACCTAGATCCCACTTCTAAATCCGGATTAAGCTATTTCTGAACAGGAGGCAGGGAAGCCTCTTCCAATTGCAAACACGCAGCTATCCTGGAAATGCTGCCCTCTAGAGCAGGGGTCCCCAACCCCTGGCCCGTGGACCGGGCCACGGCATGCCAGCAACCGGTCCACACAAACAAGCAAAGCTCCATCCGCGGGATGCTGGCAGCACACAAAACCACACACCCTCTGGACCGTGAGTAAACCTCTCTCCACGGAAACGGTCCCCGGTGCACCCAAAAGTTTGGGGGCCTCTGCTCTAGGGCCTATCTGAACATCAGTGTAGTAATTTAAGGAAATCAATCTGTTTGGTTCCAGTAGTTTCACTAACGCCTGCAACCCACATTTTGCATCTAGCTTGGTGACAATTATGAGTGTGTTTACTTAGAAGCCACTCGCTGCAGCCGTGCAGGAATGTGCTTGTTAACCAGGGCTGTGTAGAGGTTGCAGCTTCCGTAGAACGTGAATTGGATCACGCTTGGTGTCTGCTTGGCTAGCTTATGACTCAGTGCGTTGTGTCAACCAGGGGTCCCCAACCTCCGGTCCGTGGACCGGTACTGGGCTGCGGCATGCCACCAACCGGTCCGCACAAACAAGCGAAGCCCCATCCATGGGATGCAGGCAGCACACAAAACCACGCACCCTCCGGTCCGTGGAAAAACCTTTCTCCACGGAAGCGGTCCCTGGTGCCCAAAAGGTTGGGGACTTCTGATTTAGAGAGGCCGGACTTCAACTCCCATCGTCCTGTCACAGTCAGCAAACAGGCCAAGAACGAAAAGGAGCAGGATGCACCGCAGCCAGCAGGTGGCAGCGCAATCCCACATTGCCAAAGGAGCTGGTCCCTAGGAAGGACATTAGGCAGAGGCTATTGACTTCCCTTGATGCTGCTGTCCCAACATCACAGACCTCATCAGAAACAGCATCCGCACCCTTGAGGACTTTTGGATCTTAATAATAATAATAATAATAATAATAATAATAATAATAATAATAATAATAATAATAAAAAAGTTGGAAGGGACCTTGGAGGTCATCTAGTCCCACCCCCTGCTCAGGCAGTAACCCTACACCATTTCGGACAAATGGCTGTCCAGTCTCTTCTTAAAAACTTCCAGTGTTGGAGCATTCACCGCTTCTGGAGGCAGGTAGTTCCACTGGTTAATTGTCCTCACTGTCAGGAAGTTTCTCCTTAGTTCCAGGTTGCTTCTCTCCTTGATTAGTTTCCATCTGTTGCTTCTTGTCCTGCCTTCAGGCGCTTTGGAAAATAGCTTGACTGCCTCTTCTTTGGGGCAGCCCCTGAGATACTGGAAGGCTGCTATCCTGTCCCCCCTCATCCTTCTCTTCATTAAACTAGACATACCCAATTCCAGCAACCGTTCCTTATATGTTTTAGCCTCCAGTCCCCTCATCATCTTTCTTGCTCTTCTGTGCACTCTTTCTAGAGAGTACAGAGAACTCTTTTTTCTTCTTCTTCTTCTTCTTCTTCTTCTTCTTCTTCTTCTTCTTCTTCTTCTTCTTCTTCTTCTTCTTCTTCTTCTTCTTCTTCTTCTTCTTCTTCTTCTTCTTCTTCTTCTTCTCCTCCTCCTCCTCCCCCTCCTCCTCCTCCCCCTCCTCCTCTCTGCAAGCCCCACTCCCTTCTAGCACTGATGTTGTTACCTAGTTTGGATCATAAAACATCTGCAAGAAAACAAGCAAGCTCAGAGAGCACCAAGGACCTCTCCTATCAACCCTGAGGTGCAAATATTCTCCTTTATTAGCACCCCTGGTCTGGTCAACAGCTCAGGGATCTGCAACCCATCTTTCCTCCAAACCCCAACAGAGGGGATCCTGTTTTCCATGCTGGAGATGAGCTGAGGAGGACATCCTCAGCTCATCTCCAGCCCTGAAGCCTGGAGCCCTGAAAACTCATCTGTTCCATGCGGCCGGCCTGGCGTAGTTTTGATTGGGTTTTGTTAGGGGTTTTATATTTTAGAGCAGGCTTTTATGTAATATTTACTGTGATTTTTATTATTGCCTGTTCACCGCCCTGAGTCCCGTAAGGGAGATAGGGTGGTATATAAATTTAAATAATAATAATAATAATAATAATAATAATAATAATAATAATAATAATAAATGACCTTCACTATGGTTTTCTCAGCAAACTTTGATTAAGTAGAACATGACTTAGCATGGATTTTGCAGCACTTGAACTAAAATAAGATACCAGACTTGTTGCTGTTTGAAATCCGAGGCATAACAAATCAGAATAGCACAAACTGGTGCCGGGTGTAAACCTGGCATTGAAACAAGCAAGCGGTTGCTGACAGGATGAACTCAAAGTGCGCAATGCTAAACAAAGCCCCTTGATGTCTGGTGTTCCTCCGACCTAACGCTGCATCCTTCCTGGCAAAGCTGCAACGAAGCTGCAATCNCGAAAAAGGAGAACGGGGATGCTGCAAGGTCCTAAGCTTGAAAATCGGTCATAAGTCACTTCTTTCAGTGGCACTGAAACTTCGGTCGTTAAACGAATGTTTATAAGTCAAGGACTGCCTGTAGGTTATCCTTAGAAGCACCTATAGCCCTTTACTCCTGCATCCTATTAAAGCATTGAAGCACAGTCCGAGATGCTTTGATGTCTACTCTTACTTACTACCAGATAAAAGGGCTGTGGACTGCAGCTTTAAAGGTGGTAGATGGAGCTGAGGTTCATGTATAAAGCTCAGTTTTTAACAGGGGCCTTTGTGTATATTCAGAAGCGTCGTTTTCATTATAATCTATCTATCTATCTATCTATCTATCTATCTATCTATCTATCTATCTATCTATCTATCTATCTCTATCTATCTATCTATCTATCTATCTATTTATCATCTCTCTCTCTCTCTCTCTCTCTCTCTATCTATCTATCTATCTATCATCTATCTATCTCTTTATCTATTTATATCTATCTTCTATCTATCTATTTATCATCTATCTATCATCTCTCTCTATCTATCATCTCTATCTATCACTTATCTATCTATCTATCTATCTATCTATCTATCTATCTATCTATCTATCTATCTATCTCTATCTATCTATCTATCTATCTATCTATCTATCTATCTATCATCTCTATCTATCTATCTATCTATCATCTATCATCTATCTATCTCTTTATCTATTTATATCTATCTTCTATCTATCTATTTATCATCTATCATCTCTATCTATCATCTCTATCTATCACTTATCTATCTATCTATCTGTCTGTCTGTCTGTCTGTCTATCATCTCTATCTATCTGTCATCTATCATCTCTATCTATCTCACCTATCTATCTATCTATCTATCTATCTATCTATCTATCTATCTATCTATCTATCTATCATCTCTATCTCACCTATCTATCATCTATCTATCATCCATCCATCCATCCATCCATCCATCCATCCATCCATCCATCCATCCATCCATCCATCCATCCATCTATGTCTGCCTGTCTGTCTGTCTGTCTATCTCACCTATCTATCATCTATCTATCCATCCATCCATCCATCCATCCATCCATCCATCCATCCATCCATCCATCCATCCATCCATCCATCCATCTATGTCTGCCTGTCTGTCTGTCTGTCTGTCTACCTATCTATCTGAAGTTACAATGGCACTGACCACTTTTCACCGTTATCACTGTTGAAGCATCCCAGGGTCACATGAATTATATTCGATGCTTGACAACTGACTCATAATTATGACGGTCGCAGTGTCCCGGGGTCCTGTGATCACCCTTTGAAACCTTCTGACCTGCAAAGTTCACTTAACAACTGTGTTATTAATTTAACCACTGCAGTGATTCACTTAACAAATGTTACAAGAAAAGTCATTAAAATGGGGCAAAACTCACTTAACAAATGTCTCATTTTTGGGCTCAATTGTGGTCGTACGTTGAGGACTATCTGTATCTCTGACATCCATCCACCCACCCATCCATCCATCCCACTCATCCATCCATCCAATCCACCCACCCACCCACCCATCCAATCCCCCCATCCATCCCAC